TCCTTAACAAATTGGCAGAGCTTGATTCAGCATTATCAGAATGAGGAAGGCTGGGCAATGGAAGAATCATCTCCGCACTATCCTGCTTCAGTTTCAAAGGCTGAAAGGCGCTGGAAGTAGCAGGTAAGAGAAGTCATAAGAACTCATAGCAAAGAGTTTAAATCTTGTTTGCCAACCTGCATAGATACATGTGTACACACACACAAAAACTTGCTGTCCCAAGTGAAGAAGAAAAAATGTTCTGCAACTGGAAATTTCAGCTCAATACCCTACTACTATTGTAACTTAAAAGTGGTATTTGTGCCAGAATTTGTCAAATTTTTCAGGGTTGCAAGTCTAATTTAACTTTACTTTTCCAAATTCAACATTAATCATAGAGGTAGCTAATGAGAGTTGGAAAATACTGCTTCTAGCAGAAGTGGTTGGCAGCATCTCTTATTTCTATTTTCCTCTGAATTTGGGCATTTCTGGTTATTAGAGCTAGGATTTGCTTCCCCATGTAGTTTACCACTGGAAGTCTCTTAGCACTTTCAAAGTAGGCCTCTTGACTCAAGCTGATTGGGGGATTTAACTGTAAGTATCAATGTAAAACATCTGTGAGAGGCTGCAACTTCTACCTCTGACCAGCTCTGCCGTATGCAATTCAAAAATCGACCTGTTCTTATAGTTTTTGAATCACATACTTCCTGTAGTATTATGTTAAAACAGCATAGTTCAGATTACAACATTTTTCAGAACTGACTTTGTCATTTGACTTTCACCACCATCCATGTCTATCCACAGAGAGAGAAGGGTCCAGTTCCCTCCTCACAGATCTCTCAAAGCACATGACACACCCATTGGGTCAGATGCAGCCCATGGAGTGGAGGTCTATTTATTAAAGTACTTCGGGTATCTAAAATGTCTTATTGCTGAAAAACAACAGGTGTATTTGCATTTGAATGAAGGAAGAGTCTAAGTATAGAGAAGGATCTGTGTATAGGGAAGGAGTCCACACATACACAGTAAGATAGGTTTTGTATCAAGAATGTGATGGAGAAAGGCATGAAAATAGTAGTGGGAGTAGTCACAATATTAGATGACAAGCTAACACAAGTAAAGGAAGGAGTAAAGGGAAGCAAGGATCAGAGAGAGTTAAAAAGGGCAGACTACCAGACTGGGTTTGTCTCACTGACAATAAGACACACTTAAAACTTCATGGAAAAGATCAAAGGATTTAGAGAAAGACATTAAAAAGAACAATGGGATATTGCTCAGTATACAATCGTTGCACAGTGATTTTATTTCATCATTTTAAATGGAACAAAGAAGTGAGGAGATGATATGGTGAAAGATGAAGATTATTTTAAAGCAGCTAGGGAAGAGAGGCTTTAGAATACTTTCAGAGGACAATATATAGGAAACTGATGAAAGTTGGACTCAATGAAAGCGGACGAGTCTTTAGTAAGACAGCAAGCTGTGGTTCCAGGAAAGAAGGCAAAGTGAAATTACAGGACTAGTTTGCGAGGAAGACGTGTAAGGAGATGCATCATGAGACTGTAGTAGGAACTTTGGGATAGATGTCAGGAATGAGAGTTTGCAGAAAAAGGGAAGAATTAAAATTCAGCATCAGTTTGGAGTTCTAAGATTATAGGCAGAGACAAAAAGCCTTGGCAGTGAATGAACTCAACAGCACAGATTAGTGAAATACATAATTTTGCTAGTTCCAAGAAAATAATTTCCATTTAACTTAGTAAGTGACACTTAGGAAAACATCGGAAATAATTTTCAACTACCATAAGATAACAGTGGGTAGGTGAATAGTCCTTAATTAAATAATTTCATTTCCACATACAAGCCCACACATTGAATGAAGTATAGAACATGGCTTAAGTGACTTGCACAACGGTCTGACCATGAACCATTTGTCCATGGATTAATATGCAGTGTCAGCCTGTCAGCAACTTCTGTGTCACTATCATCACTTCCTGCAGCACTGCCGGTGGCAGGAGCTCTTGCTAATATGGAGACTTCTTTGCAAGGGCTGCAGCATTTTGCTGTTGGATGGCCCTGGAGAGGATATACTTTTGCAAGCAAAGCATGATTCCCATTCAACCCTAAGGGTAGATTCAAACCGAGTCAAAATATTCTTACCATTGTAGCTGCTCTTTCAGCTGAAATTTTAGGATTTTCACCAACCTTTAATAAAACATTTAGAAGAAGTTAAAACATCAGGCAAACTGACAACATCAGAACTAGGATTTAATTCTCCCCTATAGTAATTTGAAAAAGTAATACACAAGTAGAGAATTGAGATGTTGGCTCAATTTCTTTGTCATTAGACAAGAGTGACATAACCAATTTTGGACTTTCTTCCTATTCACTTATTTTAAAGCAAAAGTTAAATTCAGGAAGCCTGTAACAAAATTAGAGTATGAATCACTGGAAGATTATGGGTAAAGTAATATGAAAACATATTACTTTGCTTGTAAGTCTCCTGCCAGTGAGTGCTTACATTTCTAGTTACTCTGTGAGGAACTTTAACAGCCTTTACTTTTAGAAAATGCTGATAGCCTATCCTCTGAAATTCCAGACCTCTTAAAAGTAATTCAAGTGGTCCCAGAAAAAAAAAAAAAAATAATTGAGAGCAGGTTAAATCTCCAGTATTCAAAAAGAAAAAAAAAAAAGTCCTTCTGAACACAGGAGGGTTTTTATATTTCCCTCCCCCATCTCTCTGACCTTACAGAAAGATGTCTTTTGGTTTAGAGACTAGGTTTTTATTCGAAAAAGAAATTTGTCAGATGAGGATTTAAGAGAAAAAATTATATACTCTCAGGTTTTGCTTAATACAGGAGCAATTTCATTGATTTTCAGCTCAATCTGTTTTGGTTTCATTTTGCTTTCTATAGAGAAAGACTGATAGGTTTTAATATAGCTCAGATTCAAGAGCTGGAAATGTGACATTCCCCAGCTCTGCTCCTCTGCTTTGCAACAGTTCCTGGGGGCAGATATTTAGAGTGAATCTGTTACTAGGTGAATTGGAGTATATTTTACCATAAAGTAAATTTAACATCGAGAGAATGAGAATCAAACAGAAAACGCATTACCAGTATGTATTTGAGCAACAGTATAACTAATTTACCACTGAAAACCCGATACTTAAGCATTACATGGAAAAATGCTTAATTTAACATGTTTGTTACCTGGGGTATCAGTAGTAAAATATAAATAGACATTTAAATAATTTTAAAGTAATTTTCCCATCCGTTGAGTCCAAGAGTATTTTATATTATTGATGTTTTAAAATAATAATAAAAAAAACCCCACACATGACTTTTTGGCTTTTGGATTGATGAAAATCTGTATATGAACACACAGGACATGAATATTTCTCTAACACATGCACTCACTAATGAAACTTTTTCCCTAATTGTAAGGTTATTGTAAATTGTTGTTGCAATACTACCATAAAACTTCCTGTTGCACTTGGAGATCCTAATTTAAGGATTTTTCTTTCTTTCTTCCCATTTTACTTGCCATTCACCATGGCTGCTATGTCAGATAACAAACTTACCATTAAAGGGATTTTTTTTTTTTTCATATAACATTCCATTATTGTTTGCATCAATGATAAAATGTGACGTTTGCTGAAGATCTCTGAGCTATAAACTAGATACAAACACGCTAACCCTCGCAGACTAAAATATTTGCAGGTTACTCTGCGTAAGCGTTTGCATGTTGGTTTAATACTTACTGAACGTGACTGAAAATCTGTTGCCTGCTTAAATCAAGTCACACAAACACTACAAAAACATGACTAATAACACAGATGTATAGCAGGGGAGAAAGTGTGATAAGGTACTTATTTAGACATTACAATAGTCCGGAATTACTGAATTTCCTTTCTCTCGGAGAACAAGGTTATATGGGCCAGAACGAACACGCAGTATTAGACATCCCCAAACTAATGATCCGCCTTAAATTTCAATACAGAGAAAGGGACGTCATTTACCCTCTGCTTCAGCAGAAGTGAAAAAGATCACCTGCTGTTTCCTCGCTCTGGAAGCCCCGGCGCTCAGCGAGCCCCCCGGCCGGG